GTCTAACTTTTATTTCCGGGTTGAGCTCCTAGCCCAGATTATTATAATGGCTCCTTCCCAGTTTTGATTTCAGAGTTGGCTTTCTAAACCAGATTATTAAAAGACTCAGTTTTCACCACTCAACCTAGTTTTACTTCATTATACAATTTGGAGGAAGGTGGGTATCTGTATAAAATAAATATGTTTTCCTCTTATTCCAGTAAGGTTTTAGTAATATTCTGTCCTAAAATCAGGATTAATTTTTTAAAAATTTCTTGTCCTCACATTTGGAAACATCATGCCCTATTGACTCAGAGGACTTCACATATTGTCAAATGAACTGTTCTCAATTCCCCTTAAAGAGCAGATTCCAGAGCCACTTGTTCACTTACCTTGTCAGAGGTTTCTGCAAAGCCCNTTAAAGAGCAGATTCCAGAGCCACTTGTTCACTTACCTTGTCAGAGGTTTCTGCAAAGCCCCCCAACGCACCCAACAGGATATGATCACCCACCCCCCCTTGGGATAAATGTGTTCTCCATGAACGTTTTAGTAAAATATTGCAAACTTCTTTCCCTCTTCGGCTTTTGTGCAGATTCGCAGTGAAGCGAGTAGCTCAAATAAAGTTCGAGCACAAAAGACTTTGTTTCCTAGGTAACTTCCAAAAAGAAAAAAGTTTGTTGCATGCAAAAAGAGAGACAGAGAGAGCTAGCACCAGAGAGAGCAAGTGCTAGAGAGAAACCCCCACCACCAGAGGCCTCATTTTGTAGGCGATTCCTTCCTTGAATAACAATGGACTGAGAAACAAGGAAAGGGTAGTAACCTGACTACAGGCTCTGACCAGCAGCCAAAAGCACGTTTTATTTAGTGGTGACAGGGACAATTGGCTGCCAGAGAATCTTTTTGTTCTGTTCTCTTTTTGGATTGGAGAAGCTGATCCTTTACGGTTCTGATTAATGTAGGGCAAGTTGGAATTTCTCTCCTCTGAACTACAAAGACCAGGAGCAGCTTTAGGTGATGCCCCTGTTGAACAGAGCCTGGGTTGCAACTTGTGGGCGGGGGGTGGGGGAGTAAGTGGGGGAAGAACAAATGGCATGGCTGTCTAAATTATATTTTATTGAATTCAAATTAGCAAAAGACCACTCTTTAAATTGATTTAAAAGACAAACTGTTAGAAACAAGAGAGTCTGCAGTAAAGTTGAAAGAGAAGAAAGGGAGGATGTCTGGAGAGAGCAGGATAGGGCTGTGAAGGGATGTTCTCAAGCCAGTACCTTTCTACTCCATGGGGTCATGTGGCAACACTCAGTGGGGGAGGGCGAACGGGTGCTGTTAAACTATGAACATGAAATGCAAAAAAAGAAAAAATTAAAAACGTGTACACAACACACAGTATACCCTGGTTAGACCAAATCTATGATATTAATGAATGAAGGTACTGGGATAATGCCTGCCTTCCTTTCTTCCTTCTAAATTAGTTTTTCATTTTTTTTTAAATGAGAGGCCCCATAAATAGGGGTTAAGAGCACAGACTCTGGAACTAGTCTGTCTGAGTTCAAATCCTGGCTCCACTGCTAATTTTCTGTGTGACCAGGGCAATTACTCAACCCCTCTGATGTGAGTTTCCTCATCTGTGGTAAGATAGGGAAATAGTAGCATCCATTCTCCAGGGCTGTTTTGAGGATTAAATGAGTAAATATATGTAATATACAGTACTTAGAAGAATCCTGGCACTTAATAAGCTCCATATGTTAGTGTCAGCTACTACTATGACTATTAGCATTATTATTATCCTTACCTTGTACCCGTGAAATATGTGCGAAAATGTCTTTGCAAATTATAACATTCCCATCCTTTAGATCCTGGTCCCATTTGCTAATTTGGGAAGACTGAATTATTTTCTTTCCTTAGAGTGATTTTATTTTCCTGTGAACTACTTTGAAGAAAATTTCCTATGTATAATTTCTTCCTCTAGACTACTCAAAATTTGCTTCTTCCTCATATTCATATACTACATTTGGAGACATTTTGCAAGTGTGTGACCTATGTAGTCCCACAGGGCCTCGCACTCAGAAGGTCCCCATGCTTGCTTTAATGTTTCACCATCACTATCTTGAAATTCTTAATTTTTGAGTAAGTGGCCCTGCATTTTCATTTTGCACTGGGCCCTACAAATCGTGTAGCCAATCCTGTTTGAGGAATAATGTGGTAAGCAGAATCCCCTTCTCAGGATCTACT